ATCACACCTTCCACCTTCAATAATCCCTAGCAGACAACTTCTTCCTCCCCTCTAATGCCTGTAACTGGAGTTTCTTGTTATTTTTATATTTTTCTTTATATTTTAATGAAGTGACAGAAGCATAACAGAAAGTGTAGCATATGCTTAGAAAAAGTATTCCTGCAGAGCAGTTTCATGACATGGTATATTGTGCTGTGTGCATTGTATACACACTGTTCAGAAACCCCAGGTTTTTCATGCTACACCAACCAAACAAAATTTAACTATCTTTCAACCGTTCTGTCCAGAATTGCAAACTATTCATTCACATACAGCAGATTCATTACATTTAGACTTTCTGTGGTATAGAAGCAAATAAAAATCCTAAATCCCTGGAGAACACACACAGGAGAAAGGTAACTCCAACTGCCACTTCCTTCATGGACATGAGTCCCTGCCAATACCAGACGTAAAAGAAACCAGCCGGTTCATAGGCACGATGTTGCACAGCAGTGACAGAGCCCTAACGAGGGGTTGCACAATGACATGCAGAAACAGCACTCCTGGACAACTGCACCACTTCTTAACGCTGCACAATAGAGGGTGCAAAACTCAGGAGGACTTTTCCTTTCTTGAAAAAAAATCAAGAAAGCCTACAAAAGACTACAGGGAGCATTTGTGGGTGACTGGATTAGGCAGCCCACAAGGCTGAACACAGTGGAGAGGAAGATGCCTAGGAGGAAGACTGTGAGCAGAAAAACCTATAGACTAGCATTCACAATGTTCCTGTAAGTCTTTGACTGGTATCTGAAAATCTCCTTTCCTGGCGCTCTCTCTGCATGCAACCTTACTTCTGGCCTGCGATGCTGCGGCAGAACAGCAGGATTGCCAGTTCCCAGGACTGAGACAGCAAACAGCAGCATCGTCATGTTTCAGGGTTGTGAAAATTATCCTCTTTCTGAGGACATGACAGCAGGTGCTCAACAGTGCAGAGTAATTTTCTTCCTACTACATGAAGAACTAAGTGTTTTTGCAGTTGCTCTTCCCAATGTGAACTTGGCCTGTCTTCCAACAGCCAGGAGAGGATCAGTCCACTCCACAAACCTGGAAATTTCCTGTTTATATTCATCTCCATCCTTGGGAAATACCTTACACCAGGGCTTCCAACTCATTCCCACCATTTTCTTATTCTCATTAATAGCACAAAAAAACGCCCCAAACAAACAAATAAAACCTAACTCAAAATAAAAAGCCAACAAAGCACATACATTAAATGCCAGAAAGCATTTTAAGCTCTTAAGTCCCCTGACTCGAAAGACAGTGAAAACAAATGTTCAAGTATTTTCCCAAATATCTTGAAAACAAATAAACGAACAAGCCTGACATTCTGTGAAATCTTAGTTTATCCTACCCTTCCAAGGAGTGAAGTGCTCTTTCTGAGTTATATAACTATCTCCTCTAAATACATGCCTATGCTGTGGAAGACTATCAAAATGGTAAGCGCCAACATTTCAGCCGAAGTGTTTCCTGTAAAAAACCTCCTCCGGCATCAGAGAGTGTGCAAAGCCACATTTACAGCAGCTATCCAAGCTAGTTGTTGCTGCTTGATTGTTTGAAGCTCCAGCCCTGGAAACACTTGAGCATGAGGGTAGCCCAAGGGGCGTTGCAGGACCTCTGTGCATGTTCAGCCAAAGTTGCTGAGAACATTTAAAAGGTTCTCACCTCCATCACTGTAATGCCTAAGCAGTTTACCAGATAATCATGAATCGTGCTGTAAGTAACCACCAAAGAACGAGAAGGTTACATATAGATGGCAAACATAGTTTAGAAATGCTAAGGGACAAAACCCAGAGGTCTAATTTCTGCAGTTTCAAAGAAGGAATCAAACTACTGTGTTGAACAAGTCACCCCAGTCCATAGCTGGTATCTCAGAAGAAATCTTTGCTAGAGCAAAGAACCAAATTCCAGTCTGAAGCATCTCTGACCAGCAGCTGATTCACTGCAAACAACCCTCCTCAGAGCACTGTTCCTTTGTTTGACTTCAGTGAATCCCGATTTCTCTTTGACTTCAGATTTAAAAAACATTAACAAATGGGACTGCAGAGAAGGTGACATGGCTTTCAAAGTGTAACACCTGACTCTCCATTCACTAAGTTGAAAATAAAAATATAATTGAGATTATATTAATGTTTGTAATTTTTTATAAGTTATTATAAAACTCTTTTACCCAAGCTTCTACCTTCAAGCTCCAAATTTGAGCCTAAGCATCGCAACCATGGGAGTAATACAACATGAGGGCTTTTGTCCCTCTGGCTTCTTACCTCTGTTCCTCTAAGGTCTTTGGGATAGTAAATGTCTTCAGTCATTTGCACACTTAGGCCAAAATCCACCAAAACAGCCTTAGTTGACATAAAGACAATGTTGCTTGCTAAAAGAAAAACAAAAATGACACCATTTAAGTTTCTAGCACATTGGGCATTTATTTTACAACATGCTTGTTGTAAAAAAAGTTGGATGTTAGCCTGAAAAGGGAGATAAACACAATGAGTCTCTATAGCTGACAGAGTCCTCCTCCTAGCCAAAACAGGCCTGTTAGTGATTGGGTTCAATTTTAAATCATATCTTAAAAATCAAACTGGACTGGTTTACGTAAAAGAAGAATCAATGTTTGGTCATTTTCCTAGCTTAAAAAGAAAAAATTTAAAAAAAAAAAGAAAAAAAAAAGAGAGAGAGATGAAGAAATGGCTGAGGGTAAGGGAGGAAGGTGGAAGACTGGCAGGCACATTAGTGCAGCGAGGGTTGCTCTGGAGATGTTTAATGGTGGCCCAGGTGGTGAGCAGGCTGTGCAGGTCTGGCTATAAACAACATATCTGTTGGTCACCAAGAGGTTTCTCTACACTAACAATTTAAATGAAGACAGAAGTAGAGAGGAACTGAGGCCACACTGGTCTCCTGCACCGGTCAGTGAGAGTGGCTCAGCGTGATGACAGAGAACTGACTATGGCGGCAAAAGTAATAAAAGACAGAGAGTTCCAAACTCCCACCAAATTGCAGCAATATCTAGGAGCTTAACTCACTTTCCTTCATAAAACTCTGCCTAAGGCACAACTTTGTACTGAGAGGCTTTCTTTGCAGTTGTATTTCTGATCACATATTTATGAACATAGCGCTCTGTGTAAGCCATCAGAAATTCTTGTTTGCTGTTTCAGAAGACGTGGACAAACGAAGTTGCCAAGTTACACAACAGAAACACATTTTCTCCCAGAGGAAAATGGGGGTCATTCTCCGCCTTGACAGAGCCCACCATGACCATCCAGTGGGAAGACGCAGGCTTGATTTCAGCGGTACTGGTTCCTGCAGCCATCCTTCACCTACCAGCCTCTTTACCAGTGCTACAAAACTACGTAAATAAATCTGTAATTTCAGAGATACTTTTGAAGATATGGATTTTAAACACCACATGAAAGACGGTGCAGAGGGCCACGCTGCCACAGCGCAGCAAGCTCTGCTGCCTGCTTGGGACTGCACCCAGCCCCAGCTTCAGCTGGTTTCAGATTAAAGCTACCCCCAGCAAATAACCCGAGATTTGCACCCTGGTGCCTCCAGGCCACCAGCCCCGAGCAGCCTCCATGGCCCTGGGCGGCCTCCACCTCAGCTCCTGCCCTGCATCCAGTAATACAGAAAAAGGCTGGAAAAAGCAAAACGTACTCACATCCACCACGTTCACAACGGGCTGGTTATCCTATCCACTATGTAGATGTAGTGGGTTGGGTTTTGGCTGGTTTAGTTTTTAAACCTTTTAATTAATGTCACTGCTACTACCAATTACAACAAACCCATAGGAAAAACTCTTACTACAAGTGAGAAAGCACAACTAAGGAAAAAATGAAACAGTTGTATAGTTGTCAGAATCTCCAAGGCTTACAGCTAAAGTACTGACTCATATTAACTAAAAAAAATGCAAAACCGAGATAAAAATTTAGCAATTCCTGATAATTGTCTTCTGTCACCTATTTATTGTAACACTTCAGCTTAAATATTTCTATTTTAAACCCTCAAGTTTAGCAAAAATTAATCTGCAGAAGAGATACGCCTTCATTAGAAGCACTGTTACTAGAAAGGCAGGATTTATCTGTCTGCGAGTGGAAGTAGTGATGGGAGAAACAGTATTTAATATTAAATGCGGTGCATTAAAATTAAAATTTAAAGCAATTTAATATTAATATATTTAACTTAGGTTTAATATCAATACATTTTGATTATTTATGCATGTTAATACCCAGAGCTTTTTAAAAGCAAACATATACTAAAATTTGAAGTAATTGTTGAAAGGAAAAAACTACAAAATATGTATTTAGTTCCAAAGTGTCTCAAACTGAGGAACAGCCATGGAGAAACATAAAACCTAAAAGAAGGTACAACTGGAAGGTGAGCATGGAAGTACTCAGGATGAATTTACATGGAAAGAGGGAAACTTCTGGCTTAACACAGACTGATAATTTCGCCCATTTTCTTCAGGTTTTTATTTCAAATAGAGTTTCTCAAGACAGGCAAAGGAACTATGACTCTCAAATCATCCTCTCCACTGAAGTGAATTAATAAACAGTGTAAATAACTACTATCTCCAGAACCTGACCTTGTCAATGTTGAGCATTATCCATCCCTCCCTCCCAGAGATGTGAGGTTATGCGCCTCAGCTCAGTCACAGACTCTCCATCGGACCCCCAGCCCAGCCCGGACCAGAGAGCACCCCAAGGAATCACACACACGTACGTTTGATATCGTGGTGGATAATCCTCTTGGAGTGGAGAAAGTCAAGTCCTTTCAGAATATGCTTTGTCACCCAAATGATTTCAAATTCTCTCATAGGACCACAACTCTCCAGCTTTTCCATGACAGATCCTCCCTCTCCAGCTTCCATAAAGAGATGGATCGTCTCATCCCACAGAATAGCACCGTATAATTCAGCAATGTTTTCATGACGGAAACATGCTTGTATTTCAACATCTGATGGTTTGAACTGTTCCACTGGAACCTAAAGACATTGAAACAAAATGACAGAAAAGCAGCTCAAAAAACAGGTTATCTGTACTAACACTAGTTATCCTACAGATTAAAATGGAAGAAGGAAGCAAAGCACTCCTATCCACTTGTTAAAATACGGAGCTTTATTTTGATCCTGTGACTTGTTCTTCCTTTCCAGTTGACATACATCCTGTTTAAAGTTGACAGTTTTTGGAATCATGCCCAAATAAAAAGTGCAATCTTCCAGAAAAAGCAATGTAGCAAGAGTTATTCCCATCAAAATCTGGTAGTTACGCAAAAGCTCTATGCAAACTTCCTGGTGAAGGAGATAAAAATCCCACTGCTTTTTCCATTAGCTTTGTGCAGGCTCATCTGCTCTACCAGAACTATACACCCATCTGACACGTGGATCAGTGCTTGCAGCACTCAGCGCAGTCTACAGACTAACCACGCTCAGGACCATTACTGACCTCGATTCAATCCTTATCAGCACTGTTTTATGGCTTGCAAGAAACACAACCTGCTTTAAAGCAAGCACCTGGCAGCACTATATTTCTTTAAAAAGTACTGACGGCAGATTGCTAAGACAATAAAAGCACTGTTTGCTTACACACGGAAAGGCTACTACCACTCCTTTTATTCTCCTTCCCTCAGATTTGTGGCTGTGAACCAAATAAGAGATCAATATTTTAACTGCAATAAGAAATACTGTTTGTATTTTCAGGAACATTAGGATGGTTTAATTCTGCAGTGGGTTATGCCAGAGTGGCACACTAATCTGTCCCCATGTGGATACACTGGCTGCAAGGGAAGGACATACAACTGCCTCCTCAACTCTTTCACACACAGAAGTAATACAGGTACTTATTCATGAGCTGGGGGATATAGAGCAATGCCCCAGCTGAGCTTTTACTGGTCCTAAATATATACTGATCAATTCAGAATAGTATGTTGAAAGGTAAAGTTGAAAGAAAACATTGGCTTGCATAAAAATAGGGGGGTGCCAAGCAGTTTTCTTGAGACATCTCACAACCTTAAGCTTAGTCAGTGCCCAAAACACAATGAGAGATGTACGTAAGCTGAGCTCTCAGGGACATTAACAGCACTGGAGTAAAGAAAACTTAAGTCTGAGGATCCCAGTTAAAGGACGAGATTCTAAAACCATCTGCAGCAACAGGGTTTTGCTATCATCTGCAGCGGGGAAGTGATCTCATGCTGGTATTTTACAACTGTGAGTACAACAGGATAAGTAGAAACTCCTCTATGCCCGCAGCACACAGTGGCAGTGACATGTACACCCAGATACTTTCAAAATGCAGAAACTTCTGCAGTCTCAGAGTCAAAAAATTAAAACAAGTTAGCAGTTAAAAAAGTGCATTTTTCTACCTTGTGTAGGTCAACAAAACCAAGATGATCATCAGCCTAACAGTGGAATTTGATGCTGACGTATTTGAAAATATACTGTATGTACTATGTCATACAATATTTGCTCAGAGATAAATCTGCTGAACAAACATACCAGTTTGCACGCCATTCGTTTCTTGGTTTCTCTATCTTGGGCTAAGTACACCTTCCCAAAAGCTCCCCGAGGAATAAAATCAGAGCCAATGTTCCTGTAAGTCAGCTTCCATGGAAACAGGAGCACATCTGAGTCAATTTGATAGCGCCCATTCTTGGGTGTGATCTGTGGAGTTAAATTAAAAAAAAAAAAAAATCACAATGAAGTTAAAACTACTTCAAGTCTAATTATTTCATACATGTAGTGGGGAAAAAAAATACATCACACATATATGTGCATGATGCATGTGATCTGTTCAGCAGTCTTTATTTAGAAACACCAAATGGGAACAGCATGTGAGGTGTGGCATTCATTCACAGCCCAGGCATCCACGTTTCTCTCTAGTGACTAACTTACAAAGTGTAAGTTGCAATTAATTGTCTTGAAACAACAACAACAGCAGCTGGGTTAATGAAATTACCCACCTCTTGTTATTAGATTTACCTGCACATGTTTGTCCTTCCTGTAATCTGCTAACTTGTTATGCCACATACCTGTTATTCACAGGCTATCTTATACGATGTGAGCAAGAGTTTCAGTATTTCCTAATATCACATGTACTGCTAGGGGTTCACATTTTAATTTTCCATCTTGTATAAGAGTTTCTGCTGCTTAATAACAGGTCAAAGAAGTCTGCTGTGATTTTACCAGCCACCACCTTCTAGTTTTATATTGTAGTTCAGTAAAAAAAGAGCAGGATTCACTCTGTCTGCTTTAGGTGGGTAATGGTGGGAACTGTGGTTGTCTAGAGCATCAACAAGGCGAGGGGGGCTCCTTCAGGAAGCGATTCAGAGCATCTAAGTCAGTATCTTGCTGTAAATCTTTCTCTGAAACAGCTCCCTCCCTCTGCACATAACAGAGAGACCAAACTCCTAACTACATGTGAGTACAGCTTGAGGTTTGATGTCATTTCTTCAGTCTCTTAATATTCTCTCAGCTAAAGAATTAGTAATGTTTCCTGTGAATGTGCTCCTAATTAAATTCAGGGATATACAGCATGGTCAGTATCTGGAATATCATTAAACTGTTTACTGCTACTTTATCAAGATTCTTGAAAATATGTAAAAGCAGATCAAGGATATTTATCACTTCATGTCTGTCACATGGCCTCACGTACTCAGCTCTTCAGCTACCCTTTTTAAGATAACAGCACATTAGGAAGATTATTTGGTTTAGATTTTTTTTTTAAGATGTAACACACATAATCCATCTGTGCTTTAACTACCTTAATATTTTTCAATTAGGAAAGTATCTTCTTGACTGCTAAAACTAATTTGTGACTAGTATCTGCATGAAATAATTAAGAACTTTGAAGAGTTTACTTTTGTGGAGGATAAGTTCTTAACTGTTGGGGGGATGTCTTTCAATAAAAAGTATTTTGCTTAGCCTCCCCTCCACTCATCAGAGGTAAAGGTAAAGACTCTAGCTATCCGGACATCTGACCTGCTGCTTCTGCATTTCAAGGGCTTGAGATTAGCTAATCCACATGGGTTACACCTGTCCTGGAAAGTAACACAGAATGAGTGGAGTGGATTTGGCAGAGCAAGAGGACAACGACTACCACACTATTCATGTTTTCAGGAGGCTTTCAGGACTCGTTCCTAGCCTGGTCCTGTGGAGTGAACGCTCCTTTGTGGCTGTAACACATCCTCCAGTTTAGTTTCAGCTGAAAGAAATCCAGCTTGTGCCCTCCAAGACCCTCTGTGACGCGAGCCACAGTGCAGTCAGTGAGGGTCACCAGGCAATCAGAAACACTCCTGATCGTAACTAAAATGCTGCAGACATTTACAATGTAGATGCACCTGCTGAAATGCATGTACAGGCAATGCCCTGCCTCCAATCCTCAGGCGCTTAATGGGATCACGTGCACCTAATAGTACTTGGTTCATACCAATTGCATGCATCTGTAGAAACAATATGCAAGCAAAACAACCACGAGCATGTAGAACAGTGTCTATCCTAAGTATAGGAAACACTAAGTGTCATTTCAAAGTTACAGAGTTTAAAAGTGACTGTTTTGCAATACTGCAACACTCCCTCCAACTCACAATAAAGCAATACCCCCTGCTATTTCACACCTGAGTAACCAGTAAGCCTCAAGCAACCAATGTTCACATATAAAACATATCATATGCAAGATATTTAAGATGATAGATGTAGAACATCTTAAGAAAATAAGGCAGCAGCACAAACATCAGAGCAACTGATTTTAAATAGAAGTCCAATGAGCTACAGATACTTGTAGAACACAAATAATTTCAGGGAAAAAATTAACATATCTCAAAACAACTCATCTATACTTGAATTCAGCAGTGTGTGTTATCACCTAATACTGTAATTCTGAAAGTCACAGTTGACTGTATGTTTTTTCTCCTTACATTACTACTTTTTACATTTTGTGCAGAGAGAGTAAATTGAGTAACTATACCAAAATAGATCCTAGATCTTTATTTGGGAGTTTTGCATAATGAACTCTTTTTACTGCATGAACATAAGGGATTGGAAAACCTTTACCATCGTCCAAACCTGTAAGCCAACATAACTGTAGCTTTTGCTTTTTTACTGCATGTCTCAAGTTGGTATTCAAAGTTGGGAAATATTTTGTAATATCCAGGGATACCAAGAGGCTACATAGAGTGGATCTTTCTGAACAACAGACCATTCTCCATAGCTGTCACAGGGGCTAGGCTTGATGACCTCAGAGATCCCCTCCAGTCCCACGTTTGCACGTAGATCAACAGCCTGACTGTTACTCCTGGGACCGGGAGTGATCTTTATTTAGATTCATTAAAAACTTCTAAAGCCTAAGGTCTACTAATTTTCAAGTTAAAAAAAAAAAAGAAAAAAAAAAGAGGCATACCATATTCAAGAGGATTCCAGATTCTTGCTGTCTGCATCCTTTAAATTGTTTGGCAGCATTAGACACCTGATTTGCAAAAGCAAGCAGGTCTTCCACAGTCCCATATTTGACGGAGGACATCAAAGAAACCTCCCTTTCACAAAACAGTAAAGATTCCGTACGTTCTTCATTTTGATTTGCCTCTTCACACATTGTAATTAAGCTGTCTTCATAGACGGCAAGGTTTTCCATGATGTCTATCACCTCAGACATATTTAAATTAGTTAGCAACAAGTCAATCTCCTCTTTGCTATCACTACCCGTGCTCATATACTCCATTACTGTCCACTTTGCAAAACCACTCCTGAAAAAAAAGAAACAAACAAACCTGAAAACACTTTTCACCTAAACTTGTTTTAGCAAACTAAGAATGAAAAGAAGTCAACAGGGTGATAGACAGCTCATTAGTATACAGTTAGATTTAGAATTATTAATTTGCATTATGAAGAAAATCATAATTAGTAGACTGGGTGACGAAGAAATGGAGAAAAAGTCTTTCTAGTGAAATTTTATTTAGAAGTTATAAGTGAACCTCCCCTGTCACTTATTCTTGGAATTTACTTTGATAAAGCTTTTTGTTAGAGGAACTCGCACAGTAAGGAAGCATGAACTAGTTATGTTTTGCTGGATATGCAAAAATGAAGGGGCACCCTCAGTACAAATGAAGGACTACATTATTTGGAAATGAATGACAGAGAGAGATATAAATGTACTCAATTAGTTTATCCTCAAGTTTTTATGAGCAATTTATGTGATGTGTCCAGAAAGAAAAGGTGGTCATGGAGCAAGATCATTCCACTAGTAATAAACATCTGTTAATAACATTGCATAAAGCACAAGTCACTCACTACCTGAGATACACAATCCATCTTTTTTGCAAATAACTGATCAGAACTAGACTTGAACTGAAATTTTCACCAGTTTCAGAAGAAAGTAAAAAATTGAATTATTGTAAAAAAAATGAGCTTTTGAAGTAGTTTCTAGCAGTTTGTTCTGCCCTCACTAGTCCTAATAATAACTTTTTAAAAAATAAATCTTGACCATTTTGCTGAAGTGAACTTTCACTGCAAGAAACCGGGTTCAACATCCCAAAAAATCCCTTCCCATCCCAGGTTCCCACTTTAAGCCGGAGAGAGTTACTCTATTCAAGTTAAAAACATACGCATGGTCAGTCATTAAAATACTTACACAAATAGTTTTCAAGACATAAATGTGTAGAGCACTTACCTTGTATTTATCCTGGTTACATCACACAAAACCATCAAAAACTTCTCAATATAATCCCTAAAGTGGTCATGTTTCTTGAACCCGTATTTACCACCGATGATAATTTCACAGCGTTCTGTAGCAGTCTATTAAAAAAAAAAGCAAAACAAATAAAGTCACGGTGTACCAGCTCAAGCAGAAAGACTGGTTTATGCTCATATGATCATTTGCTTCACAGGCTCCACGGAAAGAAAAACTAGTAATCACAAGGCTGAGATAACAGGGGATTTTTCTGCAGAAAAAGATGACAGCTCAAAAAAGAATCAAGCTACTGTACGATCATCCAGATTTCCAAGTAGTAGCGAAAAATAGTTTTTCCATGGTTAGGTCCTGAGTTTTATTCTCCCTGCCTCATGCTTGTTAATAGCAAAGCAGCGAAGGATCTCCTTTTCCTCTAGCAGAACTGAGTAGAGCATGCCCTATTTAGAAAGCTTTCATTTCCCTTTTTCATAATCTACTGCAACCATCTATTTTCGGCAAAATCTAACAACCAGACAAAAAGACTCTTAAAGAAAAAAAATAAAGAAAAGCAGCAAATGCAACCTATTTATCTCAAGGACAAGCAGCAGACTCGGTCCCCTGAGGCCACGGAGCAATGCCGTTTACCCAGGTACAGTTTCTGGTTATGATCATTATCTTTCTTACCCTCCCCGCAAGGACGTGGAAGCTTTGTGGCACATATTTCTCATGGGTTAGAGTATTTACGTCAGCTCTAACGTTGAAGAAAACCGAGTAAAATGACGCGGCTGACTTGGCAAAGAAACTCAGACCATGTGTTGCGAGACGGAAAGGCAGGACAGGACAGCTCAGCAGATGCAGCACAGGAAAAGGCAAGGGGAGTGCCTGCGGTGCAAGGCGCTCCTTTTCAAACCTCTGGGGTGGCAGAGCAGCACCGTGCCCCCCCCTTACCCCCAAGACTGACAAAGTGACTTTCAGCAGCACTCTACACCAGTTCATCCAGCCTTGAATCAACCTGATGGCACCCCGAGCATTAGAGCAGCCGGGTAGGAAACCTTGCAGTCACTAGCACTGCTCAACCGGGGAGCACCCAGGCTTCATATCCGGGGTGCTAAGAGAGGTCAGGTTTTTCCAGCCTACACAAGCAAAAAAAGATGCTAGGGGTGTTTTCTAACCTCTAGCATCCCATCTTCCTGCTCTATACCCAAGCTAAAGGCTGTTAACAAAGCCTGAAAGTGTTTACTCTTTATTGTAAAGGAGATTTCTATTTCTCCCCACAGCAGGACTTTTATTCATTGGGGTTTTTTTTGGTGCTGAATTAGTGCGGGTGGAGAGAAAAGAAACAGTCCAGTCATAAAAGGAACTGAGAGACTGCATGTGTAAAGCCAGGTAAAGTCAAAAACTAGTCCTGAGGGACTTTCTGAAGAAAAACATGAGCCTCTAGATGCTCTAGTCTTTTGTGGATAAAGACAAGTACATATCACGATTAAACTAATAAACTCTGATGTTTTCATGTATAAGGCATCTGTACAGTTTAGACCAAATGCAGCTTTCCATAAGTGCCAGCTCTGCTCTGTTCCTCAAAATGTTCCCAAACTACAGGACAATAGTAATAATATTCTTGACAGTTTCACTACCACCCAAAAAGCTCTGAATAACAAGAAAAAGTGACTATAACCTGTGTGTTCCCAGTTCTGTTCTGTGCTTTTAGTGCTTGAGAAAAGCTGCAGACCCTTCATTTTTCCCTATATCTAGCAAATTCTAAACACTAATGTTTACATAATGAGAGCAGTGCCTTGACTATGTAAAATTGATTTTTTAAATTATGCAGCAATTTATGTATGATATTTCCACCAGTGGCAAAAAAAGGTGTCCATTTGCCAACAGGGAATTCATTCTTCCTTTTTATCCCTAAAATCCTGTACTAATATCTGTTGTGGGCTGTTAAGTAACATTCTAAATCATTCTATGCAATCCAGGTACATCACTAAGTATGCTTTACTTAGGTTCTCGGTTAAAAAGCTTTTTTTACCTACAGTGGAAGAAAAAACCTAAATGTAAGCACTTAAGTCAGTTGCTAAAGCACTCTTTCTCCAGATCTGCCTTTATTTCAACATCACCACAAGTAATTTGCAAGCCAAGAGTTTATTTCTCTATTTATCACGAGTGGCTTTTCCTTAAACCCTTTTTCTGAGAAGCATGCTGCTTGAAAGCATCCTTATATCCATCAGATTAAAATAAGAGTAACTGAATACCAGAGTTCTGAGCCCCTGTGGGATTTTTTTGTGTCAAGGAGCAACAAAGCAAACAAACAAACAAACCCGAATAAAACCTACAATAAAAATTACCACCCCCCCAAAAAAACCAACCAAACAAACCCAAACCCTAACCAAAAACTGCAGACTGGCTCAACACAATCATACATCCATAAAGATTTCTTGCGCTGCTTTTAGGGAATAATTTTCTGGTCTCAGTGGCAAGTAACTGTCCACCAGTGATGAAAAAAAAAGTCCTTATTTGCTTTTAAAAAAAGTTATCGACAAACCCTGAAAAACACACTCGCTTTGATAAAAAAGTTCTGCTGTTAAGGAACAAGAAATATGAACAATTTCAATTTCTGCATAATTCCAAATTTCCACTTGGGAAAAAGAAAAAACCTCCTAGCGCTGACAGTGTCAAAAAGCTCACCTCCAGCACGGAGCCGTTTCAGTACCCCCCTCCTCCCCGCAGCCCCCCTGGGGGCAGCACCGGTGCCGCAGATCACACGACTGACTCCGGTCCGGAGGCTGAGGGCAGCCAGGGGCCCGCCCAGCTGT